AAATATGTCTCTGTCGCCTCTAAGTGTTGACATCAATGTTCACTTTTATATTTATACAGACTCTATCTGATATTGAGCACTTTATCCTATAAATATAGCACACCTTAAGAGTATATTTCTTCATATATATATATATATATATATACATATTCAAACAAGTTTTTGTACATTGTTATCTTAGAAATAGGTCAGCATTAATCTACTGTGCTTTTCTCAGCCCTTAGAAGGGCAGGAATATAAGCTCTTGTTCCATGGTTTCTCTTGCCATCCTTTCTTTTTTATCTAGCTCACAACTGTCAGCTTATACCCTTTTGACCAGGCTCTCAGACTCTGGTGCAAATCTTGGTTTTGGCTAACATCAAAAGACTCTTTGTATTAATTTTATTGATTTGCAAAAATTATTTTATTTTCCGGCATTTCATTTTCATTCTTTTATATATATAGTGAACATTATGCATGGAGTCATAAATCATAGCCAGAAATAAGTAGGCTCTGATCCTGTAAACTTCTGGTGTTTTTTTTTTGGCTGGAATCAGTTATTTTTCGTTCTTGCTCTTTTTATCTGAGGGTTCCCCCTCTCGTTAGTTGAGAGAGGAAAAGAGAAAGAAAGAGACAAGGGTTTTAAAGAAAAGCACAAATGCCTTATTTTAATTTAAATTTTTTTATTTTTGTTTATATATTTTATTTTTATCAAGACTCACTACAAAAGCATATATTTACATGCTGCAAGTTCCCTTTAAAGTGAAAGTGTTACCAAAGTGGATAACTCAAAAGTTTTTTTTTGTGTCAATTTTTTTGATTGATCAAATTATTTTATTTTCCCCACATTCCTTTCTTTTTCATTTATAATGGAAGTTATGTGTGGAGCCTCTCTGATTTTTGGTATTTTACAGTCACAATTATTAAGTCAGCTCTGCTCCTGTAAACTTCTGTTTTTTGGGTGGGTTTAGTCTTTTCTACTTCTTCCTCTTTTTATTTGAGGTTTTGCCTTCTCTTTGGTTGAGAGAGAAGTATAGAAAGAGAAGTTTAGAGAAAAAGAGAGAGAAAAAAGAGGAGAAAAGGATTTTAAAGGAAAGTGCAAATGCCTTATTTTAATTTTAATTTTTTTAATTTTGTTTATATATTTTATTTTTCTCAAGACTTTCTAGAAAAGCATTTATTTACATACGGCAAGTTCCCTTTAAAGCGTTACCAAAGATAATGTCAAGAGAAGATCTGGGTTGATTCTCACAGACTATTTCAACTGGAATAGGAAAGAATTGTAACAAAATTATATCTAAAATGTAATGGTAGGGATAAAAGTGAACCAGATTTAATTTTTGCATGCAGTTCAAATTTCACACATTCCTGGGGTGGGGGTGGGGTTTATTCTCTCTCATACATATATTATATATATATATATATATATATATATATATATATATATATATTTTAAAAGACATTTTATATTTAACATTCTTTTTATAGATACAAATATTTAAGTAAATGCTCTGTTTATAATAAACAGTATTAAACAAGATTTACCGGCCTGAATGTCCGAGAAATTTTGACAGAAAATATTCGTCCTATGGTAAATCTTGTTTAATACAGTTTATTATAAACAGAGCATTTACTTATATATTTGTATCTATAAAAAGAATGTTAAACATAAAAATGTCTTAAAATAATTGTTGGACTTTGTCCATTTCATAATATATATATATATATATATATATTATTCCTCACTGATAGCAAGAATCAGAGTTTCATGCACAATGCAATCTTCAAGTGTTAAATATAGACTGACCATTATGTAATTTAAATTTTTAAAAATATATCCAGTTACTGCAATGTTGGCATAGTTATATATTATACTGGGGTTACAGTTGACAAAGATTATTAATTGACAGAGAGGTATAGAAAGAGAATTTCAGAAAGAATTTCATTTTTTTATATATAGTGAACATTATGCATGGAGTCATAAATCATAGCCAGAAATAAGTAGGCTCTGATCCTGTAAACTTCTGGTGTTTTTTTTTTTTTTGGCTGGAATCAGTTATTTTTTTGTTCTTGCGCTTTTTAACTGAGGATTCCTCCTCTCGTTAGTTGAGAGAGGAAAAGAGAAAGAAAGAGACAAGGGTTTTAAAGGAAAGCACAAATGCCTTATTTTAATTTTAATTTTTTTATTTTTGTTTATATATTTTATTTTTATCAAGACTCACTACAAAAGCATATATTTACATACTGCAAGTTCCCTTTAAAGTGAAAGTGTTACCAAAGTGGATAACTCAAAAGTTTTTTTTGTGTCAATTTTTTTGATTGACCAAATTATTTTATTTTCCCCACATTCCTTTCTTTTTCATTTATAATGGAAGTTATGTGTGGAGCCTCTCTGATTTTTGGTATTTTACAGTCACAATTATTAAGTCAGCTCTGCTCCTGTAAACTTCTGTTTTTTGGGTGGGTTTAGTCTTTTCTACTTCTTCCTCTTTTTATTTGAGGTATTGCCTTCTCTTTGGTT